TATGTATATATAGAATGTATATAGTAAGTAGTTAAAGTTTTATATGTAGTTTTTGCAGCTGCTAGTAATTGGCCTGCCCCTCTGTTTTGGAAGAAATTAAAGGTTTTAGAGATGTATTTATATGATAGGTAATCAAGAAATCAATACCAGTAGGCTTTAGTAGTGTTTGAGTAAAAAAGGTTTCCAGCATATTTATTCATTAGCACACCATCTATAGATGCTGGTCTGAAACAACCTATCCAGCTGAAATCTGATTTAGAAACTAAGCTTTGTGTTTATTTTATGTTGTTTATTTATACATGCATATGTATTTACTTTTTTCATAACAAACACAATGATCTCTTTAAAACAAAGCTTTTAAATAGGCGATTATATGTAAGCAGTCATGTAAGCACTCCTGATTGTACAGGAATTGCATCTATATTATTGTCTTCTGAGCAGCACCATACATGGGACAAAAGGTGGATATTTATTTTGTCTAGAGACTTGCAAGAAATATGTAGTTGTGAGCCTTAGATGATGGAGTTACTATTCTGTGAGAAAACTAAAGCATATTTCCAATTAACTAAAAGGCTTCCTTGTACTTTCCTCTCAAATCTAGCATGATGTAGTAACAAAATCTTAATAAATGAACAACGATAAAAGTCACAAATTTAAATTTTGCAGCAATCAAATGAAAAAGACAGATGTAAAGCCATTAACATACATATATTCAACCGTGGCGATTAGCATAACCTAATATATTCAGAATAAAGCATGACTGAGTCTGTTTCCCTTCTGCTCCAAGTCGCGCATTGGGTAATTTTGATGTGGAGAAGTGACATTAAAAGAAAAAGTAAGGCCTTACATAACAAGATAAAAGAAGAGTGTGATTTTAAAAAGTTTTGGGAGGAAAAGGATTTTGTAGGAAGTAAGAACCAAGGTGATGATCTCTACTTAACATGAATCGGATCAAAAATCTACTCACTGCAGGGACCAGGAATGCGCAAGTGGAGTTGGAACATTTGGATCTTGAACTTCAAAAAGGCTTTTCTGTGTCATTCCTAATGTTGGCAGATGTGGATCATCAGGTTCCTCATATGGACATGCATGAAAAAGCAAGAGATCCAAAACAAGGGCAAGCCATTCGATAGACTTTTGTTAGTTGTTTAATGCCAAATACATTATTTCAAAATTATCTACTCAGTGTTGTTTGATAGTTGGAGTAAAATACCCACGTTCATCTGCAATGTACCTCTTTTCTCTTTCTTTTTGGTAAGACCTAGCTTTCCAACTATTATCCCTTACTTTGAAGATAGATATCCCACAATAAAATGCTTGCATATCAGCATTTTGCCGAACCATTCTCTAAATACAATTGAATTTGACTGCATTCTCAGAATATCAATATAATTCTTTCCTGAGAAACTATTTTTGTAGCAGCCAAAATCCTAATACCAACTTATTCATAGATAAAACATGTTCAACTTATTTATGCATTAGTATTGTAAGATGTGGACTCTAGAGCTGATTTTAAAAAACAGCACAAAAACCCCAAAAACACAATGCTGTCATAAATGTTGAGAAAAGGAGTAGCACTTAAATGTACTTGTCAGTTTTGATTGAGCAAACCTGTTTATTTCTCTGCTGAGGCACCAATACAGTTTTTACAGTCATACTGCATAGTCAGAGGTAGGTGAGCGTGACATTTCAGAGGTGTGAAAGTGTTGAGTCCCATTATTAGAAGATCTTACTGATAAATACACACTGACAGTGATTTGGCCTGAAATTATGTAGAAAGATTTAAAAAAACCTAAATGGACTGATTTGTCATGAAGGTACCAAGCTGTAATGTATTACTGGCCTGAATATTACTGACTCATGGCAGAATGGATTATCGTAATTCATTTTTAGAGAAGATAATGGGAAACAATTATGAGGATTTTCCTCTTTAAACTTTGGAAGTTAAACAGATCTAAGAAGGGAGAGGAAGTTAAAAGAAACAAAAAATCATTTCACATGGACTGAAATAGAAAAGTGTTTCTAATTTTTCCATACTTCTCCAAGGCTTCAGGCAGTTATGACTTTAATGAACAGCCGAAATAACCCTGAGCATTTTTAACATGTTCTCATAAGATTGATGTACAGGAGAAGGAAATTACCAGTGCTTCAGGAAGATCTAAATAAATAACAAATTATGTCAGAAGAAGTTAAACTTTCTGGCTTTTAAAATTGGTCACATTTTTCTCTGTATTGGGGAAAACAGTAGGTTGGTATCCTGCTAGCATGTGTATCCTCCAGATGAAAGGCAAAGCAGCAGTGTTCCTACTAATGACATTCATAGCTTAAGGAGATATTCTCGTTTTCAGTGCAGAGAAATTTTATGAAGACTTGGCTTCACCTGTAAATCTGGTCTTATTTTCATGCGCTCTAACTGCATTTTAACCAGCTTTTTTCCTTTCCTTTTTTTCTCTCTTTGCATGCTTTATTTCTTTTGTTTGAACATTAGGAGCAAAAGCGTGTAGATGGCACCACCCGTGAGGTGAAAAAGGTTAGAAAAGCCAGGAACAGACGCCAGGAGTGGAATATGATGGCATATGACAAAGAGCTTAGACCTGACAACAGGTTGTCTCAAAGTGTGTACCATGGAGCATCTTCCGAGGGATCACTGTCCCCAGATACTAGGTCTGTTTACAGCAAAGCTGTTTGTTATGCCACAGTTGTATGTTCAGAAATACTGAGCAGAATTAGGTGTTTTTACAGGCTGGGATTAGTTAGAATGGACAAAACGTACGATGCATGTTTTCCAGTTCTTCTCACATTGATTTTTAAAGCACAAATAATTTCTGTAATTAATGGTTTTCTTCCTCAGCTTCAAATGAGCACTTTGCCGTCATAATGTTATGCACTGTAGTGAAATAAGTGTTTGCTGTATACTTTATATTTGATCTTGAGTAGTTGTAACTGCAAAAGCATTTAAATCTGTCTCTCCTAGACAATGTCAGTACATCTTCATTTGTGTCTTTTTTTGTTCCACGTTACGCTGTTGATAGCTTAATAAATATTTTTCTGGGATCAACTCGGGCATGCTTTTGCTGCCAACAGAATGCTTTAATGGGGGAACAGTTCAGCTTTATCGATGTTCTATTTGTCTGAAAAGCAAGCTACAAAACCAGATGCAACATTATTGCTTGAAATAGCAGAAATCTCTGCTTAGAGACATGCAGCAGAATTCATCCCTGTTGTGTGAGGTTCCCTTTGAGCTCAGTTGAAGTTACCTTCTTCTGGTGTGCACAGAAGTCTGAGTTTATTCACTAAACTGGTCTCACTAGAGGATTTTCCTTCTGATTTTATTTCTGCAGCTGTCATTGTTAATTGCTAGCAGTAATGTTAGGAATAAGAAGGCTTTACTGGAAAAAGGGTTTGACAGTTCAGTATTTACATTGCTGAATGGCTGAGCTGAGGAAACGCCCACCACTGCGAAAGTGTGGACTGATACCTTTAGTCTAGTGGAGATTATTAATTAAAAAAAATAAAAGAAAAATAATCTACTGACACTTTTTCTATTTAATGTTTTGGCCTCTGTTAAGAATAATTTTATAGTTGAAACAACGAAAGAAAATTGCTACTGCTGTTTCAATAATACATTCAGACCCCCCGTCTGTCTAAAATCCTATAATCACTTATTTTTTTTACAGTTTTTAATGCAAAACATTCTCTGTTTGTCAGTCTGTAATGTTTCATTAAGACTATGCTTTCCATAGGTTGATCTGGTTAAATGACATTGGTGTTCAGCAGTCAAGTGCAAGATGTGGATTTTTTCATCGTCTCTGAGTTCTGCCTTTCACACACTTTTGAGTCTTTTTCTGGCCTTAACCTGTTGCTTCCAGGATTCCTGGGTTTGGTCATATTGAAGCTATTTGGTTTTATCTCCCAGCAATGTCAGTGTGTATTTGCAGATATCCGTTAACACTTGCAATCTGTAGGATTTTTTTAGGCATAAATTGTAGGACACATCATTCTGTTGGATATAGATGTTGTGGTATGACAGATATCTTGTACTTATATAAGCATTTCAAATTTTACAATGCGTGGAGAACTTTACATTTCAGTGAATGAGGTATCAGTGATTGAATCCTGAAATCTCTGTATTACTTGTGTGAAGGGTTCATTTTCTGAATGGGTAGTGAGGCTTTCTATTTTTTTTTCTTGAGGTACTCTTAGCTGTAGGAACTAAGCTATAAAGCCCCCATACATATACAAATAAGTGCTGGTTTCAGAGACATTTTTAAGCTGACAGCTACTGCATGAGCAGTGTTTTATAAATAAGGTCCCAAAGAAGTGTATTTGGCTATATTGCTGTTCTTTTTTAATGCTAAAGTAAAGCAGCTCACATTTCTTCTCGTTTGCCAGTTGGAAGATTTGCACATTAAACATCGACATCCAAGTGTCCAGGCTGTGGCAATTTACAATGTATTTGTTATACTTGTACTTTAGAGAGAGAAACACAAGCTGAATCCAAACAGAAACCAGCAAATTAATGTGAGAAAAGTAAGAACAAGAAAAGAAGAGTGGGAGAGAAGGAAAATGGGCATTGAGTTCATGAGTGACGCAAAGAAAATGGAGCAGGCAGGAAGCATGAAAGAGGACAAAATGCCCAAAGGGTTTGTCATTTTGTTTTACTCAGAGCCCTGGTGCTTTGTTGCTTCCAGTCTTACAGACAAGTGCATCAGTTTACTGCGTTCACTAAAAGCCAAGCTGCACGACTGCTCATTACTAAAACAACTATTGCAGTAAAGGGATGAAGATCCTTTTGCTCCCTCTCTTGGGCTTATTTGATGGAGCATCCTTGACTTTGTATCTTTATGAACTCTCTGCTCAACTAATATTTACATTTCCCACTGTCTCTAAGCCTTTCCTGCAAAATTAATTGTGTGAACAAAATAAAAAGTGTTTTCTAACTTTTGGAATGGGTTTTCTCTGCTTTGGTAAAATATATTCTGCTGCATATTTGTGGGTGCTTGCAGTGTTGCTTTCCTTTTGCTGCTGCCGTTGTTGACTTAAAGCAGGCCTGATAAGTAATTATTATTTCAAACAATGGGCTGTCAAAATCATTGGCAATAACAATATGCCACCTTATGGCTACTAAAGAGCTTTGAAATCTGTAGAAAGCTCTTAAGGTTTTTTTTTTCCTTTTTTAAAGCCTGTGATACAGGAGGACATTCTGCATGCAGCTAGTATGCTGAAATATTTAAAACATTCAATTTCAGCCTTTTTATGCTGACTTGTCAGACTAATTTATTTTCAAGTAATGTTAAGCTGAACCGTGATTGTTTTGGTTGCATTTGTTCTTGTGCTTTCTGTGGAGTTACAAGGGAATGGTACTTGATAAACAGGGAGTCTGTTGCAAGAAAAAGAATTCTGATTGCATTCTTTTTAGCTTTTCTTGTGAGCTATTTAGATGATACCCTGTTACACTCACATTATCTGTTCTTCTGCATCCATTTACTTTAATTTTAGGTCCCATGCATCTGATGTTACAGATTATTCTTATCCTGCTACTCCGAATCATTCCCTCCATCAGCAGATAGCAATGCCTTCATATGGAGCAGGAGATGGTCCACAGTACATGGCAGCATCCCAAAGCCATGAGCATGAATACAGACCACCTTCCACCACTGTACGACATGCTACTTTAAACAGACCTCAGCAGCCACCTCCACCTCCACCCCAGCCTTCCGATGGTCAACATAGCTCAGTACCTGTGGTACCAGCAGAATATGGGTAAAACTCCTGATTTATTCTGGTGGATTCTTGACAAAACTAGAGGGATGCATGTTTTTCGTAACCATCATAACATACAATGCATACACACAAAAAGACCCCAAATACATTACTTGGATCCCTGGGGAGGACAGAAAAAATTGGTATGGTTTCCATGTATGAACTGAATTTAAGTGCAGAAATAGTGAAAGCAGAAATAATGAACTGTGTATTGAATGTGGTAAAATCAATATGCTTGTAAAATATTAAGGGTTCCTAATACAATATTAAAAAGGAGATAATTTTCCTTTAAAGTGAAAAATAGTTATAGTGTAATTTGAGTAATATTTTAAACTTCAGAAAAGGTGCAGAAAAAGTATCACTGAATGTGATTAACGTGGCAGTCTGTGTTGCATCCCTGAAATGACTTTTTAATGGAGCTTATGACAGAATGGGAAGGGATCTCCCGAGACACAGAATCAAGTTCCCTACTGCCATACAGAAGTCCATAATTCAGTATGTGAATTTATCAAACTCCTGTGTCGGTATTTTGCCTGAATGCATTCTGAAGAAAGGCTTGCTCCAGAGTACTGGCTCTCCAACAGCAAGAAAACATCTGTTTTCTAACCTGTCTGTGCCTGTTTGCTCTTTTGCTTGAAGAGCTTAAACTTTCAAGTTGTAACCCCAGGAAAGCTGTAGTCATTCTTGCCTGTGTTGTTTTAAACTCAGAGAGCCAAGGTTTTTCAGCCTCGCTTGATGCATCCTGGGATGGCATTTGCCTGATTCGTGACTCTATCATGCAGTAGATGACTCAGTTACGCTATGTTTGACTGCTCCAACCTGCATTTTCTCTGTTATTTCCAGTCTATAACAGAAATACTTGTGCTTAGTCCCCAGTGTATCACAGCTGTCATACATTGACATGTATCACTGAATGTCATCAGCAACTTTCATTCAACTCCTGTCTCCTGTATCTAGTTCTTTACCTACTTCATAACGCTTAACACTAATTCATTTTTTCCTGCTTAAGAACTTTTAATGGCATTTTAACAAAGAAATCTGCTCTTCCCTGTTCCTCCTTTTTAAAGTATCAATCAAATGTATCAATTTAATTAAATAATATTTAAATTGATAAACTTGACTGAAGAAGCACATGAGATGCATGATATAACTTTAGGTAAATCTTTCCGTTCATACTTCCCATTGTCCTCCATGCCTATCTTTTTTATTATCTCTTATTATTTGTTCTAACACTTGATCTTCTATGGAAGTGGTGCACATAGTCTGCAATTTTCTTGATCCCTTCTTCATCATAGGCATTGTACTGAATATTCTCACATAGTAGATGTTTAGTAACAAATACAGCTTTATACTTACCTAGGCAGGAGTATTAGGATAAAGTCTCACTTTGTGGAGTGCTGTAAGGACACTGCCTTTACCTTTGTCATCTGCCTTAAATCTGACTGTATAATCGGTATTTTACAATTTGTATGTTTATAATCACTTGCATATTTAATTTACCAGTTTAAATTCCTTTTTTTTTTTTGTTTGGCTGAGAGCAGTTTAAGAGTTGATGATTCTGTAAGTCCTAATTTTCAATGTGTAAATGTTCTTGTTCTGTTTTACGTAGGATGATTCCAGCTCAGATGGTGGATTATTACAATCCTACAGGTCCTCCCCCTCCTCCTCCCCCCCCTGTGATTCCTTCAGCACAAACTGCATTTGTTAGCCCCCTTCAGCTTCCTGTGCCACCTTCCCATTCCGGACTGGTAACTGGCTCTACATATGCAGCTGCTCATCCTCCTCCTTCTAGTGGGCTTGTTGTCACTGCTCCTCCCCCTCCGGGCCCACCTCCTCCCCCTCCGGGCCCTCCTGCGGCAGGTTCGTCTGTCTCTTCTTCCCCAATGCACGCCCCTCTGGCTGCGGAGGCAAAACGTCATGAACCTGCACAGCCGCCAATCAGCGACGCACGGAGTGATCTTCTTGCTGCCATTCGAATGGGTAAGTGACCACTGAGTTTGAGTTTTAGCTGTTTCCTTTCTTATTTTTTTTTTATTCTTTGTTCAATGAAAGGACTGTGTTTTCAAGTGATCCGAGTTCATGGCTTCTGTTTCCAGCTGGGCAGGATGTCATTAAGGGAGTATTTAACCATGCACCTATTACATTTGTCAACCTTGACTTCGGATTTTTTCCTAATACCTAAAGATGTACAGCTTTGTCAAACATGTTCTAGCGTTTGTGTGGACGTAATCAAATGAAAGCAGTACTTGTGTGTTCATTATGTAGAGTAGTCCGTAGATGTGCATGGATTTTTGCTTCAGTTCAGAACTGAATTATCCAACACCAGGCTTCAGCCCACTGTTTTGCTGGGGCTTGTTTTGTTTTGTGGTGGTGGTGTTGTTTGTTAACCATTAACTAATGGCTGTTTCTGACTTTGCTTACAATATGGAGCTGTGAAAACTTCAATCTTTTGATCAAAAGGACCCATATAGTCATGAATATTTAGTTTTATCATATTGTTGGCAGTTTTAGAAGTCTAGAAGTATTCAGTTTCTGAGAATGGATTCCAATCTGCCTTTTTTGTCTTTCTCCCTTGCATAGGGAGGCTCTCTAACTCAATGGTTCCTTCTTATTTTTTCCTTCTTCATTAATATATTGTTAGAGTACAAAAAACCTCACCAAATAACTATGAAATTTAAAGTCTCTTATGCAGCAAACTTAGTCTGAGAGTACTTGTCTCTACAGGAATTCAGTTGAAGAAGGTGCAGGAGCAACGTGAGCAGGAAGCAAAGCGAGAGCCTGTTGGAAATGATGTGGCCACCATCCTTTCAAGACGCATTGCCGTGGAATACAGCGATTCTGATGATGATTCAGAATTTGATGAGAACGATTGGTCAGATTGAGCCTGGTCCAAGCCCAGTGGCAAGGTCATGAAATACTTGGCTTCAGTGATTGCTTTCTTAGCAAGATGTAAAGCGGGCATTGACACATTTTAAAGGTGTAGTGATCGAAGTGCTACAATGGAATTGGTATTATTCAAATGCTGTAGCTTAGCAACTCTGGTAATAACGATGTGATTATGCTTATGCAGATCAGAATCTTGTCTTACTTTCAGTATTTACCGCATAATACTTAAGTGCCACTAAATGTAGCAAATCATGTGCTGCGTGCAAAATACGCTGCAGTTGTTGCACTGTTACAGAACCAGCATTTTATTTTACTTTCCTGATCTTGAAGGGATAAAATATTTTTTTTTTTGACGTTACATCTTACTCTTTTAATTATGTAAGCAACTTAGGTACTTGTGAATTGATCTGGTTGTTAGTCTTTGAGGGCAGTTAACTATGTGACTGGGTGAAGTGTTGAGTCCCATAAGTATGACTTTTAGCTTTTTTATTAGTTACTAATTATGCCTACCTTAGTCTACTTTTAATCATTTCTGGGCTTAGTTTTTTTCCATACAGAATTGATTTTATATAATACTTTTTATCTTAAAAATGTAGCAGATGATGAAATGTATGCGTTGAAGAATGAATTCACATGATCAGAAATGAACATTTTGTGAGCAGACAAGGATCAGTTTGTAGCAGTACTGGCCTGAGGTTGCTGACTGCTTGTTGGGTAGAGTGCTGGCAGCCTTGGATAGGGATGGGATGCACGTCCATGTTACAAATAGAAGTTAAAATACCTGTAGAGCTTTTCAGTTTTATGATACAGATGAACTAAATGCAAAGACTTCAGGGCAGACCTGATTGAAGCCATGTGGTTATTGCGGTGTACAAATGTTGCTCTGTTACTGCTGAAGAACTTTTGTCAGTCTAGGTCTAGCAATCAGATACCTTTCACAAGTATTAAACTTGGTCTTTATGCCTGTCCATATAAATGTTTGTAAATAAGTTTTGTTGTTGTTGATTTGTACATGTATAGTCATGACAGGTTATTTTCTGTTTCCTGTAGCATGTTTACTCAAAACTACTATTACTTCGAATGTATTTCTTTCCCAGTACATCTCATTGATAAAGCATTGGCAGTTAAAACAGTTTTAAGGCTGTTAAGTACTATGCCATGTATATATACACGTGTTTTTTCCTTCCCTAGGAACAGTTTTCTTTAAAAATAATTACTTTTTTTTTTCACAGTACAGTATTAATTTTTTTTTTTCCTCTCTTCTGGACTGTGAGAGTCAGGTCAGTCAGCTTTGTCAAATGGGGTTTTAAAAATGCATTCATAGCAGAGGAAGAGTTCTTTCTGTACCAGATGACTGTTTTAATCTTTGTAACTGAAGTCTGTGTAATTCCAGGTCTAACATTTGGTAAAGCTTCTTTGTTCTGTCAGGCCCTGTCTGGTTTGGTTTTTGTTTTTGTTTTGGTTTGTTTTTTTTAAAAGGTATGTAAAATAAAAAGAGAAATGGAAGATAATTACCGAACTTGTGTTTACACACTTAGGAGTTTTAGTCCTGCGAATGTAACAGTCTTAATGCAATGTTTGCATGCAGGCTATTGGCTACTTCATTGCTGCTTAATCTGCGTATGATTTTCCAATCTGTGGTGGCTGTCTTTATGGCAGGGTGGTAATGCTGCCTCAATGTTGGTGTTAAAATTTATCACATAAAGTAGGACCAATCTCTGCATAATGGTGAGCAACTACAGCTCTTGTTAACTGGTGGCAGCTGAAGGTGCTCATCTCTGCTTCAGCTGGAGCTGCTTTAGACTTTGTCTTAAAATACAGAGCTGAAGTCTGCTTTGGTTTGTGTCCCACAGTCTGAGATCTTTGTCCACTGCAGAGGACAGAATTTAGGCCATAGGCAGATCTTGGTTTACATCGGTCTGAGAGATGGTTCATTCTGATCATCACGATGTGCTTGAAATGATTCTTTGGGTGGGTAGGCCAAAAGTGCAACTCGGACTGCAGTGTTACATCCCTGATAGGTGGGGAGAGTACTCTCAGTATTCTTTTAATCCATGCTGAAATGAGATATGTCAGCAGAAAATTTCCCAGTCTAGTGAAACTTGATATGACAGAAGATATATTTTATGAGCACAGAAGGTAGGTGTGTCTGAAGTTTTGAAATTTATGTTAATTTCAAGTAATAAACATTCACCAAGCAATCAGTTGTGACCAGTTAAGATAGTGTAGATTTTTCAGTCATAGTAGCCAACCTGTTTTTCTGAACCTACAACGTTGTAATTTTCCTTTTGGTATTTTATTAATAAATTGTGAACGGAAAGTAGTGATGTAAACTAACATTATTCTAGGCTGTTTTTATCAGTTTTATCATACTTTGGGTTGTGAATAAGTAAGAAATATGAATAAAATCTCACTTTCGACTGTGTCTTTCTTTGTTAACATTAGTAAGATTTTGCTATTAATCTTTATCCCTTATGAGTAAATAATGGAAGTGAAACATATTGTAAGGCTTTCAAATGCTATCTGTGATACCAGGAATCATCATTTTACCAGGATGGAGGGTAAAACTCTACAAAACCAGACTCCTTTAAGGTACTTCTTCTACTTCTCTGGACATGCATACTTATTTGTTCCTTTGCACCTTGATTCAAGCTCCATGTTGAAGTTCTTGGCTGGTATAAACAGGTATTAATTTTCAGTGAAATGTAATAAACAGCAGCTTTACTCCCAGAAAGAACAGGGCAGGATGTATGAGTTGTGTTAGCAAGCCCCTCTTCCCACTTTTTTAATAAGAGTCTTTGTAGGTTAATGACACCACGCACAATGTGAGTGCAAACCCATGTCTGCCACTACAAACATAGCTGTGTAATTTACAGTTAGACCACTATATTAAATTGGTTTATGTTGTTCTTCCAATATGACATGATAAACCAGTTGGGCCATATAGTAGCCTAATTGTAAATTAAGCAATTTGTTTATGCATCTTAGACTTGGTTGTTCCCGGGGAATATGACTTCATCTTTAATCTGTTCAACTGAAAATTCCAGTTCCTCTGATGCTTGGTTCTTATTTTGGTGAAATTTTCATCTTTGATTTGAACTAAATTCGGGTAATTTAGAGCAGAGACACCCATTCCACACAAAAGTGGAACATATGAGCGAGCAATTTTGGTTCAAAGGCTACTGTAGTAAAGCATTTTTAACTGCTCATTTATCAGTTGGGGTTGGAGTTAGGACTGATGATTGCTCAGTACAACTCGCAGTGGTTGTCTTTTGAATGCTAAAAATGTTTCCATGCGACTATAAATTGCATCACTTGGATTTTTAGGTATTTCTGCTTTCTCGGCACTAAGATGAACTGCATGAAGAAAAAAAACAAACCTTTATTGTAAGAGAGCAGCACGCTATTCAAAATGATCTCTAAATTGAGCTCGTTTGTGGTATGCAGATGGAGTTGGGAGGAAGAGAAATGACTCTGGAAAATTGATTCTTGTGATGCGTTTTGCAGATATGCTGTGTCTCATGTGCCAGGAATTGTTTTAGTACAATTGTTTTAGAAAAGGTGTTTCCTTCCACTTGAAACAGTCCACCTAAGGATACAGCAGATGTGTAACTTCTAAAAATGTTTAAAATCTTGCTGTAAACTGAACTGAGTACAAACCCGATGGTAATGAAAATTTCATTAGAATCTTGTGGCTGGAAGCTGAAGGTGCATGAGTTCAATCTTGAGCTGAGGTACTATTTCCTAGCAGCAGAGTAAACATAAATATAAATATTAGATCATCTTATCCAAAGATGGCTTTGACAGCAAATTATTTTATTTTATTATTTTTTTTTAAGGTGACATTACCCTTTTTCCATCTGAAAAACCAGCCAAACACATCCAACCTGCTCTATAGTCTGGGCTGGGAAGAGTTTCCTGCCCAGCGTGGGGGGCAGCCAGCCTGAGCTGTTAATTCTGAGTCTGGATGCACACACGCAGAAGTCTGAGGATTTTCGGCATCTTGAGGCACCTCTGTATTCACCTACTTAAGCATTGTCAGTGTGCTCAGTGCTGTATGGGGAGTGAAAATGTATTATGAACCCTGGTAGAATCCCGTAGGCCCTGGCATCTACCACAAAATAGTCAAGAGTTTGTCACTGAGCAACCTTCCCAATTCTGTGGGACATAAAAGGAAGTGTGGGCACTCCAGAAGGACTGCAGCTTTCCAATCAACCATTATTGTTCATTAGAGGTGAGCAGAAAGAATGGGAACACTGGAAAGAAGTCCTTTAAGTACGAAACAGGGAGAAGAAATTTCATACTTTGCTTTCTGTAGTAGTAGGTGGAAGAAAAGGATGATTTCTCATGTGCTACTGTAAGTTTGCAGATGAGACTAAGCTGGGCGAAAAGTGTTGGTCTTCTTGAGAGTGGAAAGACTCTAAAGCGGGACCTGGACAGGCTGAATTCATGGGCTGAGGTCAATTGTATGAGCTTCAACAAGGCCAAGTGCTGGGTCCTGCACTTAAGTCACAATAACCCCATGCAGCACTACAGGCTTGGGGATGAGTGGCTGGAAAGCTGCCAGGCAGAAAAGGACCTGGGGGTGTTGGTGGACAGCAGGATGACCATGAGCCAGCAATGTGCCAAGGTGATCAACAGCATCCTGGTTTGTATCAGCAATAGTGTGGCCAGCAGGACCAGAGAATTGATACTTCCCCTATACTCAGCACTTGTAAGGCTGTACCTTGAATACTGTGTTCAGTTTTGGGCCCCTAACTACAAGAAGGACATTGAGGCACTGGAGCGTGTCCAGAGAAGGGCAACAAAGCTGGTGAAGGGTCTGGAGCACACGTCTTCTGAGTAGCTGCTGAGGGAACTGGAGTTGTTTAGCCTGGAGAAGAGGAGGCTGAGGGGAGACCTTATCACACTCTACAACTCCCTGGACGGAGGCTGTAGTGAGGTGGGTGTGGGTCTCTTCTCCCAAGATAACAAGTGATAGGATGAGAGGAAATGGCCTCAAGGTGGGCCAGGGGAGGCTTAGATTGGATATTAGGAAAAATTTCTTCACCAAAAGGGTTGTCAAGCACTGGAACAGGCTGCCCAGGGAGGTGGTGGAGTCACAATCCCTGGAGGTGTTTAAAAGACAGGTAGATGTGGCACTTAGGGACATGGTTTAGTAGTGGACAGGTTATGACTGGGCTCAATGATCCTGAAGGTCTTTTCCAAGCTTAATGATTCAATGATCTGTAAATTTCTCTGGAGGAAAGTGTTTTTATCTGTGGTTGACATATCTGTGTGGAAAGCAGTCTTGTAAGTTTGTGCTGGACTGGGCTTCTGTTCGGCTGCATAAGAAAATAAGTAGCCCTT